CCTCGTGCCCATGATGTGGGGACCAGATTCATACTGGCTGTATACCCATTACCACAAATTGCATTTGTACCCCGTGTCTTCTCATTAACTTTATGTTCTAAATCCTATGGTTTGGATAAATGTTTAAATACAATGTACTTCAAAAAGTTTGTGGAAAAAATGGAATTAAAGAAAAATATTAATCTTTCCATGTTTTTTTGCGAAGAATCCTGTATACAAAGGTTTGAAGGCAAAAGTGTTGAGAAATTAATTTTTCTAAGTCCATCTGGCAGCCAGCAGAGGAAAAAGAGATGACTTGGTTAACTTTCACTTTTATTCTTCCTTATTATTATTATTATTTTTTTTAGCTGCTGCCCAATTTCTTGCAAGCATGAATAGTTTCACCAATTTCCTTTTTGGATTGAAGCTTAACCTTGAATCTACCCAACACAGTTGTTATCATTTGCTGGTTCCCAAATCTAGACCTGTTAGATTAATAAGCTTAAATCTGCCAAAGTTCAAGAATTAAAATTTAATTGCACTTAGTATGAGTGAAAAAACACAGGGCACAAGCTCCGTATTTCCTATTATCATTTGAAGATTAAGAATATCTATTTTTTTAATATGATGTCTTTGTAATGCTAGGTTTATATGCTGTATGTGGAAAATACTATAGAATTACATCCTGTGGGGGTTTCTTGCTTGTTTTTGTTTTTATTGTTGTAACAGCTTTCTGTCATATGGTTGTGGGAACGAGCACCTTGATCAGCTTGTGGTCACCCATTTAACTCTCTAAAAACTCACATTCATCGTTGTCCTAAGAATTTGCTTATACCTTCTAACAGAACACCTACCTGACTCACATCCAAAGAACATCTGTCTTCTCACATTTAAAAGTACAACATTTAAAAGGTAGATATTACATATAAGTAGAAAGTTACATGGTGGCATAAACTATAATTGTTAAAATGCTTGTGTCTGATGCTGTTAAAACCATTTTAAGTTACTCTTACATCTTGAGGGTCACACTCAGTGGTACTTGGATTTTCTTCCTTTGTTGACCCGACTTGAGAGTTCTCATTTCCAGGAGCACTTTGTTGAGGCTTCAGAGAGACAGACAGAGAGAGAGATTGAGAGAGAGAGAGAGATCATTAAAAATAAGAGAAATATGTTTAACAAACAGATCCATATGGTTACTGCAACACATGATATAATTGAAATATTAAACTCAAAGGAAAAGAACAAAATGGAAATTTGCATACACATATATAGTAATATGTATCAGAAACCATAAAAATTCTTAACTTTGAAGTTAAATAGACTAATTTCTCTTCAATTTTTCATTAGTGATGTTCAATGGAATTATTTTCCTACTAAAAATATTTATTCCTTGCATAAGATTTTAAGGATCTTTTTCCCTCAAAAAGTAGAAATTATGTCCTTTCTCTTTATTTGAACCCCCAGTGTATTTGAGAAATAAAAAGGGCATACCTCATTTTCTTGGTAAAGAAGAACATGTTTTATAAGATCTCATAATTTACATAGAGAATTATATTTACTCCATTGATTCAATAAGTTCTGCTTTATACCTCAGGAAATCCTAAATATTATTCTAAATTTTAATTCTTTAGGAACATTAAATAAAACAAACAAACAAACAAACAAACAAAAAAACAGCATCTTGGTTTGGCCAGAGAATGATATGCCGTGATTAATGTATGTTAATATCAATATGAACAGGCAAAAAAACAGCTTCTTGGTTTGGCCAGAGAATGATATGCCGTGATTAATGTATGTTAATATCAATATGAACAGGTTTAATAATATCCACTCAAATGTGTATGTATTTTGGGGGACAGAGCTTATTTGAATATGTTGTTAAGCTCTTCGGTTTGTGAGGGTAGTGTTTAAGATAGACCAAAAGTAAACTCGGCTAAGTTGACTAAGTCTGAAACTTTGATCACACTGGATCATAGTAGAAGAAGTAATTAGTTTTCTAACCACTGGGGTCCCAGAAGGACTAAGACTGAGACGTGGTCTGTTTGGAACATTCAAATGTCACCCAGGTTTTCCACTTGTACTATTTTCTATGTAAAAACCTCACCTGGTTCTACATATTTTTCAGCAAGGAAACATTCATACAAAAATAATATCTTTATACAAATAAAAACTGAGGATACTTAATAAAACTGGTAGAATATTAATGTAAAAAAAGAATATTAATTAAGT